GCACCCAACAGCATCCTCCGGCACCCAACAGCATCCCCCCGCACCCAACAGCATCCCCCCGCATCCACCGCCAGCCCCGCTCTCCTGCCCGCATCCAACAGCATCCACCCACCGCATCCACTGCCAGCCCCGCTCTCCTGCCCGCATCCCACCGCATCCCACCACATCCCACTGCCCCGCATCCCACTGCCCTGCATCCACTGCCAGCCCCGTGCTCCTGCCCGCATCCCACCGCATCCCACCGTATCCCATCGCCCCGCATCCCACTGCCCTGCATCCACTGCCAGCCCCGCGCTCCTGCCCGCATCCCACCGCATCCCACCGTATCCCATCGCCCCGCATCCCACTGCCCTGCATCCACTGCCAGCTCCGTGCTCCTGCCCACATCCCACCGCATCCCGCCCCGCATCCCACGACATCGCCCCGCATCCCACTGCTCCGCTTCCACTGCCAGCCCCGCGCTCCTGTCCCACATCCCACCACGTCCCATGTCCTCCCCATCGCATCCCACCGCCCGCTCAGCGCTCCTGCCCCGCATCCCACCGCCGGCACCACTCCACCCTGCACCGCCGGCCCCGCACAGAACAGCACTACCGGCACCGCACCGCTGTCATCGCTCCGCACCACCCGCGTCGCACAGCACCGCATGGGCACCGCCAGTACGGCCGAGCCTCGGCGTACCTTGACATTTCAATAATTAAGTAAAAGACCACACTTCTTCCGGCGGCACTCCGCAGGTGCGGGGAAAGCCGGCGCGGAGGCGCGCAGCCTGCACAGGGAGGTTACGGGACCCTGTCCTGCTCCCTTGCACAGGAAGGTGCCGGAGAAGAGCGGAATCAGCTTCAGCATCAGCGGATGGACAGCACAGGAGCCTTCACTGCCCATCCTCTTCACCCCAGCAGAAGCCTTCGGCCACGTTTCTCCCAAACACTGCCAGTTGGCTTCTTATAGAAATAATTATTTTTTTCTTTTAAATACCATTCTCCCAAGTGCTGACATATCATGTCTGTCTCCAAATTATCACAGGAGAGAAGGATACCAGCATACCACATACTAATGTAGAAAGTAGCTTTGCAGCCCTCTGAGAACTCTAAGAGAGAGCATTGAGAATACAGAACAGGCTGCAGACTGTTGAAACAAGAAAACAGCAAATCCCCAGTATATGAATGGAACAAGCTTTATTTGCATTTTTGATATTTTTTTCTTTTTTAAACAAATTAAGAAAAAATGAAATGTATCCCCTTGATTCCAGGCTAAATCCAAAATTAAGTGGATGCCGTAATGCCATGTGAGATTTTTCTTCATACTGCTATTGCTCTCTCCAGGAGGGAACCTAGAATCCTGCTGTGGCAGCACCTTTGCAGCAAGGTGGGAGCTGCAGTGTCACCTCTGCAGTGTGTACAACCTGAGAGGGTGCTGGCATCTGTGTGGGTTGTGGTGCCCAGCCTGAGAGCTGCCACTGCCACTCCAGGCTAATGAGCCTTTGCACAGAGCCTGTCTCTATCTACCCAGCATAGTGACATCTTCATGTCGATGACACATGCTGCTCCATTCAGTTAGTAAATACGCTTCCCAACTCCCCTACAATTCTTTGACTATTGCAAGAAATAGCTGATCTGCAAAAACCCTGTCACAGGAGAAGCAAAAGGCACAGAATTAGGGTATAAATCCAAGCTGCAACTCTGTGGTCCTGCAATTTAACAAGATACAACATTGGGTTGAAAAAAGAGGCTTTCCATTCTCATGGTAAGAGAGGTGGGAGCCCTGCTGGGCAGGTAGATTAAAGAGGTTTTGTGCTGTCCCTCTCAGCAAACTGCTGCAGAGGGAAAGAGGTGGAGGAGATCACTTTGGGCCATACTCCTACAACTGGCTGGAGACCAAATCCTAAATAAATGACTTCCCAAGGTCAGTGAACTCAAGAGACAGATCAAAATCTAAGGTTACTCATGAGACCAAAGGTTCATTTCATCAGTTGAAAAGGGCCAGGTGTTGGAGCACCCTGACACATTTTATTGTGGAGCACACTGACACAATTTTTTCTGGAGCAGTCTGACACACTTTTTTCTCCAAGCGCATTCCCACTCCAACATTTGGGAGAACCAGTGGCATAAAACTATTATTTTGCTTTCACATGTGCATTGCCCTTAAATGGGACCCTGATGGTTCCTTCACAGCTCCTGGTGGCCAAAACAGAAGAGAAATATGTATCAAGTAGCTCTGAAAATTGAGTTTTCATTCCTCTCTCCCTAGGATTCCCTTCCTTCCTTGGCAAAACACATAGAGAATCTGCTGTTAAAACATCAGCTCAAATTAATAGAGATTTTCCTGGTGCCACAGACTTGCACAGGTATTAAGAGCACCAGCAGCATGGCTGTGAACACAACTCTGTGTGCCATGACAAGAGATTTCATGTCCAATTCCTGGCATGACAAAGCCAGGAAAATATCATGAAGAGGGGTGAAAATGTTTGCCTCCCTGTTTACACACAGATAAGTCAGATGATGGTCACATTAGGTTATCCAGATGTGGCTCCTCTGTGACCTGTGGCACAAGGACATGCTGTTCCCCTCTCCTGCAAGGCACTCCTGGGGTTTGGAAGTCAGACCCCACATCCCATAAAAATTCACAGACCACCCTTATACCTTTGCAGGAAGGTTGGCAGGGGGATGGCAGCTGACCACCAAGCATTTCCCCCCGTGAAGGCACAGCTGGGGCCTCAGTAACTGGGGGAGACACGCTGTTTCCATCCTATCCAGGGTCTCTCAGTGCAGGAAACAAAAAAAGACCCTCTTTCCACAGGCATGTAGAACATGCCTTGTGTTCTTATCACTCAGCCCTGCAGGCTATCTAGTGTTTGTACTATAAAAATCCTCTCATAATGTGATCTGAATAGTCTCATATCAATAAAGCACTCAAGTGTAATCATTCTTACGACAGCTTAGCACACTTACACAAGGCAATTGCATTGCTCTAAGTTCACCTCTGCAAATTAAACAGCAAAGTCAAGGCCAACTGACGCAACACGCTCTTTCGAGGCCAAAAGAAAATCTGAGGCAAAGATCAGGGGTCAGGCTGCCACGAGGCTGTGGCAGCTGAAGCATTCTACCCTCCAGCACTCTGCTTTTGCTTCCCTGCCTATGACCCCACAAGCTTTGCTGGCAGCAGGCATCACATGTGTGCTTCTTAATCCATGCCAGTGGAGCCAAGGAGAGCTGAGATGTGTTCTTTGAGGCTACTGGAGTGTGGAGGTGACAGCTTCCAGCTGGTCACCACAGGCAGCTAGAAAGGGAAGTGTCATCAGCGAGGATGGACAGGTAGGTGCAGCAGAGGCTGGAGCAAACCACCAGACATCCCCTGCACACATGGGCCATGGAGAGACACAGAAGAAAAAACAGCTGAGTGTGTAATCATAGCAATAATTATACCTTCCCTCATCCAGGGATTAAGCTTGTTCCAGGTTAATTCCAGAGCTCTCCAAAAAGCCCTCAGTCATCTCAGACACTCAGAAGGAAGGGCTAGGTCATTGCATCTGCTCCTCTCCCAATAGAAACCAGCATTTTTACATCAGCCTGCCCACAAAGACATTAACTTGAACATCAGTGTCTTGTCCTTACTTCATCTTCTTGGATACTATCTTGGAACTTTTCTTCTCTGAAGATTAGAAACCACCTAATTGTCATCCTGAATGTATTTACAGCCAGTTACACCCATTTGTTCTGCAGCAGGTTGTCAGAATTTGACACCACCAGCTCTTGTCCTCACTCTTACACATACCTCTCTGCAGTATTTACCAATATCAAGTCCATTCTATGATGAAACAATGGGAAAATGCAATGGTGCTTATTATAATTAAGTTCTTTTCCCAGTCTCCAAATTTAAGTACTCATATTAATTCAAAGAAAAGGCATTCCTGTACCCGAACAGTGATCTGTCTCTAGGTGATGGTGACTCACCTGTGATTTTCGTGGGGAAGCTCCAAGAGCCAGGAGCAGGAGGCAATAGCAGAAAAAATAAAAACTGGAATATTTATGAAGCTGCTGGAAAGATTTCCACTGCCTTCTGTGCCCTCTCAGTGTTCAGTGTGAGATGAAGAACAGATTCTGGGTGGCTTAGATGTGACTCCAGAACAGAGAAAGTGGATATTCAGGGTTGGTATGAAGAACAGAAATAACAGACTTATCACTGATGGCCCAGCTACCAGTTACAGAAGCATGTGACTCAGATGCTCCATATATTCCCCAAGTTTGTGGCATAAAGAATATTTTTTTTAAAAAGAGAAA